TGGTTCTCGAGTTATCGGCTGGGGGCGTTTAACGCCCCCCCCCAGCAAACGGTGGGTGGCGAAATACCCCAGCAACTGCCGGGTTAACTTGGCACAAATGTATCATTTTAGCAGATAAAAAGACTGATACACAGAATAAGCGTTCGCCGCTAAGGCATCGTTAGATACATCTGACGATGCTTAGCGGCGAAACATTTCCGTTTACATGAACAGTGCCACCATGATAGCACTGCTTATGTACCTGTAACCGAATGCCGTGAATAGAATAGTGTCTACAGCACTCAGCCAGATTGGGGGCTTGGTATGGCATCAACTCGCCTGATGCCTCGTCTTCACTTCACTGTTGTTCTATACTCAAGCTCGTGATTTGCTAACAGCTTAAGAGTTCTAACTGCCACTACGACTGGGCTGTCGCTGACTTACTACTGCCTGTTAAAGTGTTCAATGATTGCTTCATCTAAAAAGCCGTTTTTCGACGGCTTTCTAGTACACATTTGGTTCACATTTGGTGCAGCTTTGGTGCAAATTTCGTTAAGTAAGGTTCATTGTGTTTCTTAGAAGTTATTCTTTGGGTTGCGCAGTTGCCTAAGTACTCGTATATGCCTGATTTGTTAAATTATCAGATATTATTTTCTACTGAAACACCGAAACTAATTCATGGTATAAAGATGTTTATTGTAAAAGGAATCTGGTGCAGATTCGGTGAAGTTTGGTGCAGTCGCCAAATATCCCGTCGTGAAATCGGCTATTTTAAATTATATCAATCAATTTAATGATTATTAATGCACCTCTCATGCGGCCAGCAGCCGTAAAACGTGCGTGTGGCTACTATCCGCCTCATTAAGGGAGACCAAGGCCCACCTCATGGCTCACGCTCTGCGTTTGCACGTCAGCGAGCGTCTGCAGCAGGGGAGGTGTGTCGGTCACTGGTCACCGAGTGTCGGTCACCGAGCACCGAGTGACGATCACCGGTCACCTGACGGTCACTGGTCACCGAGTGACGGTCACCGGTCACCGAGCACCGAGTGACGGTCACCGGTCACCGAGCACCGAGTGACGGTCTTGGTCACCGTGGTGCCACTGCACCGAGGGCCGGTTGACGGCGAGGCTGCCTTCCTCATTGATCAGTGAGCCCGGGGCCGGCTCTGAGGTGGGCCGTGCTGACTGCAGCTCGTCTAGTGACACGGTCAGGTAAGGAGAGAAATCGGTGTTCGGAAATACGGCGAATTATAGTGTACTTCCAGTTATGTAGTACCTATTCCTGAGCACGATATGCCGCGAACTGAGCACGGCAAGGCGGTGTGCCCAAGCACGGTACTGCGCGCACTGAAAAAGGCACAGCACAGCACTGCACGGCACTGCGGCACGTCGCTGCGCGGTCATCATGAACATTTTGCGGTCACACTGAATTACTCGAGCGCTGTGTCAAACAAGAGAGAATACTTTCCCGAAGATAAGTAGCAGCTGATTGGTTAATCGATCGTATGCACTGACGGAGCTATGGCTAGATCGAAGCGTGGGGCTCAACGTGCTAGTATGCAGGCATGATAATTGCACGCTCCCGATGCTCCTCCAATGCGACTCCAAGGCCATGTGAGTACGGCTCTCGCGAGATTAAGCGGTAGATTTTGCACTTTAACATTTCCGGTTATACCTCAGAAACTAATCGATATATAGTTGCATGCGGTATGAAGATCCATCCGAAAGGTCGAAAAAAACAAGCACATAAGTAGGTCGCTGCACTCACTCCAGCTGTCTCATTTCATGTCTCAAAGTATTTCGATAGGTGGCTTTTCCCCTGGGGCATTCCATGTCAACCGGGACAGCCAAAATCGGCCACCTCTGCGATTTTGTTCAAACTTGGTATACTTATTGGCTATTGGGTGAAACCTCTGAGGGTGAAAGGATTTTGTCATATGCCCTCGGGCTACAGAGATACAAGTCGCTAAACTTCTGCTTTTTGAGCAGAATTGGACGTGTATTGCAATCTTGAAAGATCTATAGCTTCAACATTTTTGAAGCTATTAATTTCAAACAAACTGAAACGTGTGCATAAGGAGTTATGCTAGTAAAATTTGACAATTTTTACATTTTCTGGTGATTTTGAATTTATTTTATTTTGAATTAATTTCTTAAAATGTAATTTGTGAAAAATGGGTACCCTTCGATTTTGCTCAAATTTAGATATTGTCTTCCACTAGACGTAAGGCACACGTGCTGAGAAAATTAGAGTGGGCCAACGATAACTTTGGATGACATAGCAACAAGTAGTGCAACGTAGCACGGGCGGTGGAAGGGCCGACTTCGCTAACTCCACCTGTTTATCGCCAATAACTCACGCCATAATTATTATATTAACGTCAAACTTAAAGTATCTGTCCAGAATCGAATTGCAAATCCTCCCGTGCAAAAAATAGGTAAATCGGTCTACAACTTTTCTTGTAATAGCGGTGTAAAGTCAAACATTCCTGCCGGAGCGGCTCGGCGGCCGGCGCCGGCCGTTGCCGCCTGAATGGTAGAGTGTGCCGGCGCGGGACGGTTCCATCTTTGCACCGCGCTTCTTACCGCTGATTATGATCGATTCGTGTTAAATTTTGTGTGAAGGCTTAAAAATTTACAGGCAATCTAATGTTCAAATAAATACGAAAATCAACTGGTAAAATTAAATTTTTAGGGTGCAAACACAATATGTGACTATGACGTTTCCCGCGTCGGCCGATCCCCGCCTCTGCCGGCGACATCTTACTCTTAGCAAGCCACTAACTGCCAAATTTATGGTAAGATTAACTAGAGATTCTCATAACACTTCAAATGTCGTATAAAGGAAGAAATAGGAAAATCGGCCAGTATCTCTTAGAGTTATGGGCGTATAAACGCAAAATAGTCACTATAGCAAATTTGATCACGTTTAACCTCATTTGATCTTGAATATATTGATGTAGGGCCATGAAATTGGCACACGATAAAGTTCCCCACCGCTCCACCTACAATTCGAATTCCGTTTTTTATACCTTTTTTGGCTAAACCGGGCTTTTCTCCCTAGCGCTGGGAGAGTCAGGCGTATTTTCTTTTTGCAACCAAAGAGAGGCGCTGCCCGGAGAATGCCCAATTTCATCATTAAAAAACTGGCTTACGATGACCAGCTATCTTCGTGGCTTAGTAGTAAGTGTGCCGAGTGTACCCACCTCGAAATCTAAAGGTCGTTGGCTCGCAGCGCGGGTCAGCCTGAAGTGTTTAACACGCATTTGTTTTAGCATCTGGCCAGCCGGCAACTGTCGTGAGGGCTAATGTTCGTATCTAGGTAGCATTTGGCCAGTCGGCAACTGCCGTGAGGGCTGTATGTACATATTTACGCGTGTTAGATTAGGTCAGGTCACGTCAGGTCAGGTTAGGTTTGTTTTCTTTGGTTTGGGGTAGAAAGAAGCATCTCCGGGTAGCGCCTCTCCTTGGTTGCTAAAACGAAACACGCGAGTGCCAGACATTACGAAGTCCAAAAGACAGTTACGTAGACGTCGGCCCATCCTGGATTTTTTATATGATGTAGCTAATGTATAGGAGAATAAAATATGTAAAAATCAGCAAAATCGAAGGGTACCCATTTTTCAGAAAATCAAAATTTATTTTTTGAATTTTAATTAGGTTCACTAATTAGTTAATTACGTCAATACTGTTATCCTCAATTTAAAGCCTGACCTATTCCCTCCATTTCACACTTTGTCTCGTGGTGATATGTCTAAAACTTCAATGGTTATGACGCTTTAAAGATGATAATGTGCCTTGCCTAAGTCAATGTTTGATGACGTGTATCTCGGAAACGTGACGTCATATCTTGACAAAAATATGTCTCCTTTCTTTTCACATATAGATGAGAAGTTTCACAAAGTTTCGCAAAAATCGGAGGAGGTGAGGTTCAAAATGATCATTTTTTGTCCCACTTGACGTGGAATGCCCCCCCTTTTCTTTCTTCTTTTTTTTCACAGTGTATATAAATACTTTTTTTGACAAAACGGCTCATGTCTTCTTAATCGCTTGGCAGGCGGCAGCACTTTCACATTTCGAAGAAAAGGGATTTGGTGACGACTAAAGAAAGCTTAGTGGCTTTTGTCATTAATCATAAAGTGTTCAAGCTAAAATAAAATGAGCGCAAGCTAATGTGCAGTTTAAAGAACATATTTTATTGGCTGTCAGCTGTACCTGTGCAATAAAACGTGTTTGATTTACGAATCACTTTGTCACCATAGCCAATTTTATTCGCCAGAGGCAATAAAGCTATATTGCTGTACCCATGCCTTAGCGGTAACCGTGGTCAGTAAATATAATAGGTGACGAATTCAGAAGTCATATTGTGTGCAAATCACAGAGTCCATTTGCTAGCAGCAGCTTCCCCGTGTCAAAGTAACGCTGAAGGCCGGTGAAATTCAAGCTGCACCAGTGTCTAGTTTTCATTCGCCTATGTAGCTACTTTTGCTAGTGATCATTACGAACGAGCACGTCGTAAACTAGGTATGCACTTTCTCCAAACGAGGGAGGTCATTTGCAGCAGTAAAACTGAATCTACAGTCAGAGGGGAGTACATTAAGGACTAAATATGCCCCAGTAAGACCCGTGACACATTTCTTACATTGCGACCACGGCTGTGCATGGAAAGAAATGGACACCCGACCATCCGGGTCGGGTCGTGCATTTCGGGTGGTGCCAACCAATGCCAGAATTGCAATAAACTTGAGTAAGCTTATGTAAATGTTTCCTACAAAGGGTACTTACAATTACACCCGTAACGATCCATTTTGTGTCGGTCTCGTTCCGTCTTGTCCCTTTTCCATTCCTTCTCGTTCTATCCGTGTCATTCCTTCGCATCCCGTGTTATCTCGCCACGTAGTGTGCTCTCCCTTACCTTCTCTTCACGTCCGGTCCAGTTCCATGCTATTATGCATAAGCATCGGTCCATTACCTGACGCAGTACCGTACCCCCTGCGAACCGCACACCCCTCGCGTTTCAGCTGATCTGCCGCGGCCGAGAGCGGCCGGTGCTCGGGGTCTCCAGATCGCCGTGACCCGTCACCATGCCTCTGAGACGCCTCCTGCTGGTCCTGGCGGCACACATCGCCACCGGATGTTTGAACAACCAGCTCTACTTCGGCCGTCTAACGTCCTTGCTCGAGCTGGAGAGCTTCTCGCTGCGCGACGGCTCCACGGCCTGCAACTGCTGCGGCCTCTGCAGCCAGAACGCCGCCTGCCTGAGCTTCACGCTCGACAAAAACAGTCGCCAGTGCACGCTGTACTCGGCCGTCGGCGGCCCGGCCGAGTTCAACCGCGACTCCCAGTGGAACCACCACAACCAGTTCTTCTTCATGCCCAACAGCTCTCGGACCGGGGAGTTCTGTCGCTCTGACAGCGACTGCGTGACTCCAGGCGACGCGTGCCGAGGCCGCATCTGCACCGCCGACCCGACGGTCACCTGCCGAGACCTGCACCAGATCAACAGCGAACTGCCCGACCACCGCTACTGGGCCTACATCGCCGGCAGAGAGATGCTCGTGAAGTGCAGCATGAGCCGCGGCGGCTACACCAAGCTACTGAGAGCCTCTCCTTCCGCCAGATGGACAGTCCAATCGCGGCTCAACCTCACCTCTTACGAAGAGGATGGCACGCCAGACACGGACGGCCTCTACTCGATACTGTGGTGAGTGGGAACACGCTGGTAGTTGCCGTTATAAGGATCCGTGTCTGAGTCGCTTATCAAGACACAACGAGCACAAGCATGAGCACAATCAAAATCACAATTCAAGTCTTTCTGATAAAAGGTAGAAATTACAAATATGTAAAACCCAAGAAAAATCAAAATGAATCTTCAAATCCCTAGTGATTGCCTTATGAGGTCACAGGTCGGGTAAATGTCAAATCATTCAAATATGATGATAATTGAAGCCGTATCTATTTGCCGTTTACTCATTTTAAATCGCCTTGCGATGACTGATATCCCCCTGCTTCCCGCAATGCATGACGTCGAGGATTGACTTGTTGCTGTTTGTTGTTTGTTTGCCAGGGCTGCTGATCATATCCGCGACTCCTCACCAGATGCCACCTACTCGGTATTTGTCGGCGGAACGCGTGTCGACGATAATGGATCCGGTAAGACACGGCCGACCGATTATATAACAATTGCCGTTTTTCACGACGGCCATCTGGTACACATTTGGTGCAGATTGGGTGCAGATTTGGTCAAATGAGGTTCACTGTGTTTACGATCGAGCGAGCGCAGCGAGTGAAGCTAAGTCTTTTCAATATAGAATATAGAAATAATATAGAAATAAAAATCAACTTCAGTTTTTAGGCCAATGACCGTGCAATGCAGGGGTGCAGCCTGTGTTTACTTTTTCCGTTCTTTTCAATATAACGGAAAAATATCAGTATGAACGGCCCGGCCCGGCCTGTAACGCTTTTGAGAGGCTTATTACTCAGCAACCGCTGGACCGATTGGCCTGCGGTCTTTTTTGCTGGGTAGCCCCATCCCTTCTACCCCGTAATTGGCTACGTTTGATACATCTCAGTTACCGTCGTGGCACGTGCCACGTGAAAAGTCAAGGGTGTTCATTGTTCAAGCTGTTTTCCAAAAGTAGTGATTTTGATAGGCTTATATCTCAACAGCCGCTTGGGCGATTGTCTTGCGGTAATTTGTGTTGGGTAGCTGCATCCCTTCTACCAAAGGTCGGATACTCTTGCTCTATGTGAGTGACCCCCACTGCACGTGCAAAATGCAAAAAGAAGAGGTGCCAAATTTTTCCCCATTTCAATAACTCGGTAATGACTGGGGGCGGGGTGATTTCACTGAAACTTGGCATTCCGGTGGGCACCCACCAGGCAATGCATTCCCATGTGCTGCGGTTAGGGTGCTACTGCACGTGCGCACGTGCAGGGGGCACTTCCAGATCTCGAGAACGGCTGCAGGGCCGATTGCGCTCAAATTTGGTACACGGTTGGGGACCGGTTAGTAGTGTGTCGCGCAAAAGTCACTTTGGACCCCGTTTGCACGTGCGCACGTGCAGAATGCCGCTTCCAGATGTCAGGAACAGCTGGGCCGATTGCGTTCAAAGTTGGCACACCGCTACCGACCGGTTAGAAGGGTGCTTTGCACAAGCCCGTTGAAAGTACCCTATCGCCCTTCCGCATGTGCAGGGCTCACTATCTCGCTCGCTCGTTCTTCGCCCAAAAGGCGTTTTACTGGTTCTTAAAAGCTGTTAGCTTGGGTTGCACAGATGCTTGTAGACCTAATTTGTCAAATTATCAGACATCATTTTCGATTTAAACACTGAAATAACTTCATAATATGAAGATATTTGTTGAAGACATTTGTTGTTGTATTCCTCACATTTGACCTCAGGTCAACGACTTAGCCTCCAGTTGGCAAAAACTCCAAAAATAGCCGTTTTTATGAGAAAAAAATCTGCAATAACTATTGACTCAAGATAGTAACGATATTTATTTTGCCAGCATCGTGTTCCTCTCTTCGAGAGACGCGTCGAATGAACTATAATTTGACCTTTAAAGGTCATTTTGAAAATTTGACAACGTCATGACCTGACCGGAAAAATATCATTGCTGCATATCAGTCGATCAGTATCGTCGAGCTGAACACATCTGAGGTGTTTTTATCGCTCTAGCATGTCTATCAAAAGTCATTGTCAAAAACTGCTGGGGACCTTTCATGACCTGATATGACCTCAGGGACATAATGAGAGGTCACGGGTGACATTTTTCGGTTCAGCTTGTCGAGTTTTCCTGTAACCTGATGCTTGAGAGTGTTTGTCAAGGTGATCGTTCAGTCGGTGTGGCAATGACGAGGATTCTAGCTTTTTCTTAAGTGAGGTCACTTGACGTGACCTGGTGACCAGACCTTGAGCGACCTGGATCTGAAATTTTCACAACATGTGTGGAAAAGATGCATGAACAAGTGTGCCAGAAATACCGGCGCGTTTTCGATATATATCTGCGAAAAACCGCAATGGGGGGGGGGGGGTGTTCACTGTTCAACCCCCCCCCCCCCCCACGGCCCGGCGCGGGTTAAGTGATACATGCCACACAACCGTGCTCGTAACTTAGATACGTTATCTTTAAAACCCTATTTTGGCGACTATTTGAGGTTTTCGTCTGTGACGTCGAAATTTGCCGTGCAAGGCTCTACAGAAATCGACCCTGTGACGTCATCAAGGGGAGTTATGGTACTTTGTACTTAACCCTCGCATGTGTAGGGGGGGTCGGATGGACCCCCCCCCCCATGGTTTTTCGCGAATAACTCGCGTAAAAAGCGGCCGATCGCGACGAAACTTTCAGTACCCTCGCATTGATCAATTTTACACCTACCCTGAAAATTTCATGACCCTGACCCAAATGACCTTTGACCTGTGACCTCTTTTCCGAGACCATGTTTGGCCGGAATCGCGATTTCGCGTATGTCGGCTCGCACTAGCCGCGTGTTTGCAAGCTTTTCGTGGTTTCAAACGTTCAAACATGTGATTTGATGTTACTCCCGTGTGTGTCAAGGTCACCTGAAGGTCAGGTCAGGTCATTGACCTTTGGTGACCTCGGGTGACCTCGGTTCACTTTTTCGAGTTTTACATGTTTCTAGGCTAGTTTTTGGAGCTGAATTCGAATTTAGCAACCATTTGAACATTTACGAAGTAGTTTTGGTGACTTCGTAACATGTTACGAAGCTGTCAGAGGCGGTTGACACGTACTACGAATACCCGTCACGACGCCTACTGGTTGACCTGACCTGACCTGACCCGACCTGGTCTAAATGCTTCAAGACATCATCTGTGATCAAAACTAACACGATATTCGTGATCAGCACCCCGAAAAACCCCTTAGCAGCCACACTTTACGACTTTCTAACAGGTCCCGATTTTCCCGACTTTGGGTCATTGACCTGACCTGGAAGGTCAACCAATGACCTAGGACCTTAAAATTGGGTATCATCGGCTTCCTCTCGTCACGGGCAACACGCTCGTTTTTTCAGCGAAGCTCTAGCTCGATCAGGGGCCAAACGGCAAGGGGGGGGTCCAACCGACCCCCCCCCCCCCTACACATTAGAAGCTGGCAAACGCCGCACACATGCGAGGGTTAAAGAAGTTCGGGAGCTATCGCAAATATTCGTCAAGGGGGAAGGGTAAAAATTGTTCTCCCAGGCCCATCAGTGTAAAATAGGTACCTATGCATTTCTGACTGTGTTTTGCTATTCTTTATAGACAACTGGCGGGACTGGACCTTCAACCACCGGCGCATCTTCTTCACTCCCACGAAGGACGTCAGCCTGCTGGGCGGCGTGCCGCTGTCGCTGCCCTACACTGTCGAGCACTCGGAGAGCTTCCAGTACAGCGACGGCATCGGTCAGGTGTCGTTTCCGTACCTGCAGGACAACGGCTCGCCGATCCTGATGCATTCCAACACGAACGCCGCGTCGCCGTTCGGCGGGCTGATCCGCACCGGCGGACCCATCCGCTGGTCGCCGCCGGCCGATTATCCAGACGATGTCTACATCTACATCCGCGAGTGAACAATCGGAGTACGGGGAGCAGGCCGCCTACCACGGACAATATTTATTTACAGCGATCTCTAGACACTTGTTAAGCGACCGCGTGCACAATGAAGGTATGCGAGCCAGACGAACATTATCTAACTTGAGGGACAAGAGTGTTCAGTCTCACATGTCCCCGTCCCCATATCGCAATCGGCCGGGGGGGGGGGGGGGGGGGTTAGCCTTTCAGCTAAGGGCGCAACTGCACCGTATTATTTTGAGAGGCATCTGGATTCTGGTGCCGTCACTTGCCGGACAGTTTAGGACTTGGTGCTGCCATCTCTAAACGCCTATCTCTTTACGTGCTGCCATCTGCCCATCTTTTGCTTTCTCCAAAGCTGCCAAATCTGGCAGTCTCCCACATTAATACACGTTTTACCTGCCTTGACTGAAGTTGAACTTGCCGAGAGTACGATCAGTGGAAGTAATCACCAAATAGTTATGGGTAACTGAGGTAACAACTCCCTCCGTATTATGTTGAGGTAACCGTATTATGTTGAGGTAACCACTACCTTCCATAGGTACGTCTGTTTGCGCATTTTATGAAACTTTTAGACCGTCAGTAAGATGGGAAGGAAATTGATCATTAACATGGCACAAATGTATTTTTCTAGCAATTGAAAAGACCGAAATACAGAATAAGCTTTCGCCGCTAAGGCATCATCAAATTTCCTTTCCATCTTACTTACAGTAATCATGGCAAAAAACACCATCTGCACTACATTAAATTTTAGACCGTTGTCATTAAAGGTCAGGTAATTAGGTTACGCTAAGTGACTTAGCCCTATATTTTGAGTGGCCGCCTTAGCTAGACCAATAGAACAATCTCTCACCTTTATTTATTGATAGGTGTTGCGGATATATCAAACCTACATCTCTGATTATTATGTCATTGATCAAAAGTCGAGTCAATATTGCGACATCTTCGCCATCCACTAACGAGATTCAAAGGGATAAGTAAGTGAAAGTAAAAGAAAGAAAATTTTGTAAAGGAATAATTGTGCTTTTTATAGAAATTACGCACTGTCAAATAGGTCCTACCTACAAGCCTTTGTCGAAAGTTTAGTACTACAGAGCAGGAAGAGCTGCTCGAACAAAAACAGCAAATTTGCCGGACTTTTGCCCTCAAATTGGCCATTCATCAACTTCAAATGCATAACGACAGTCGACAAAAAAGTGGCCAAAGTGCTTTCGATAACTGTTGCCGGCGATGCTTTAGCTATGCCTTTTATGTTCACGAGAAATGGGGTAATTTGTCCAAGAATCCTAGGAAGGTTAATTAACCCTATTACTGGGCTTTCTGGACTACGTTAACTGGTGGAGGGGGGCCGATTCGGCCCCCTTGATATCTCGAAAACTAAACGTCTGATGTTAATGAGACAAGCACCATTCGATTGCTCGTATCGTGAACTCTCGGATTGACTATTAAAAGGAAAAAAGTTCAAAATTGGGGGTCCTGGAAGCAAATATTTTCGGAAAATCGCGTTTTACACCTCATGACTAAAAAGGCTATAACTTCTTTCTTTTCTGATCGATTTTGATGAAACTTTAGGGGACCCTTCTTCATAAAATGGGCCTTCATATATATTCCGGTTTTTCGGATATTTCAAAAATCATAGGCGGAATTATCAATTAGGTAAGCTAATTTGGGATGATATTTTGAGTTTTTGTCATGGCATGTCATGCGTCTTAGGACATGATGTGTTACATATATGTAAAATATGCAACGTTAGCACAAAATACACGTTTTCGTGAAGCATAGGCGGATTCAGGCACGCTAAAACGGGGGCAGTACATTGATATTACACCCCTTTCTCAGGTACCTGTATCTGCCTATTTCAATATTTTCGTTGTAAAATGGCGTCACATATGTAGTCTTAACCCTCGCCGGCCGAGGGGGGGGGGGCGGATGCCGTCCCCCATAGGTTTTTTTCGCGATAGCTCCGAACACGCTGGGATAGAGAGCTTGAAACTTGGCATACCTGACCTTTGATTCAAGCCGGATCTTTTGACACCAACTGCATTTTTGGGTCAGGTCAGGTCACTGACCTATGACGTCATAGGTGAACCTCTGCACGGTCTTCAGATGTCGCAACTTCGCAACGCCCTCACTGCCAGAGGAGTTGTCACAGGGAAATGAAACTTGCAGGATCTAGTATCCAGTATGAATCTCACAACTTGTATATCTCGGATTTTTCTTAAAGGTCATATGAGGTCAGGTCATTTTCGTGACCTCACCATTATAAGTCAATGGGGAAAAATGAAAACTGCTATTCTGGCGCCGGGAACGATCTCCAACTATCTCAAGCACACAGAATCGTGATTTGATGCACTCCTTGCAAGGTTAGATGCGTCATTTTTGCAATGTTGACCTTGCGTGACGTCATTTATGACGTAATCAAGGTCATATTAGTTTTTCGTCAATAACTCTTGATCAAATTGAGCTAGCGAGTCAAAAAAGCCACCAATGGACTCAGGAAGACCTGCCGAATCGAATGATATGCGACATGACTTCTTTAGACCAACTTCGTGACCTGGGGGTGCTGACCTGACATTGACCTGAGGTCAACACCCTAAGTTGACCTGACCCGAACAAAAAGTATATCATTTGACGCGCCTGAGCGAGGCGAACACGATGCTGCCAAAATCGCGGCTCTGCGGCCGTTTTTGCGAAGTTATTCACCAAAAACTGAGCCGTACCTTGGGGCACTTGACCTGGCTTTAGGTCACCGGTTGACCTAGGATCTTAAAATCGGGTACCAATCTCTGCGTCTCGTAACGGCGCACACGCTCCTTTCTTTCCGCGATGCGCTAGCTCCACCAGGGGCGAAACGGCGAGGGGGGTCGTACCCGCCCCCCCCCTCGGCCGGCGCGTATGTAGAAAACCAATAGGTCCGGCGAGGGCCTATTGGGAGGTGCATACTGCATACATCACATATGACGGACAGTGCCACTGATCACCTGTACAAAGCAAGTCGCTGTAGGTATAGCGGCAAATGTCGGGACAGTGAAAGCTGGACCAAAACTACCCCGCAGAAACTCGTCCTGGAGACGCCTCTGCGCAAGCTAGAAACTGAAAAAAAAATTGGCATAATGTATGTACCTATCCAATGAATAGTTAGGAAAAATATCTAAATTTTGAGCTCCTAGATCAGGTAGTTTTCCGTCGAGAATAAAAAAAAACTACAGGTGGGGGCCGATTCGCCCCCCCCCCCCCCCCCCCACCAATGTTCAATGTACTCGTCCCACGAATTGGACCACCTTTATGAAATGCCTTTAATTGAAATTCATTTGCACTCACCATCATAGTTCATCAACAACACACGATAAAATTTCGTTACATCAGCTGACGCCGCCTGGCACATCAGCCATCTATGACGTCAGTGTAGGGGCGGCGCTAAAAATAGAGCGCGGGGGCCGGGAGAGGTGCGCGCGCGCCGCCAGAACAGCGCGCCGCGGCCCGGCCGTCCAGCACGGCGCCGCCGCTCCACTGCTAGCGGTGATCAGTGGTGATGGTAGTGATAATGGTGACGCGGTGACGTCAGCATGGGCTGTGTGACGTCATACTGCTCACAAGGCACCTACAACATATCTGAAGGTAAGACAGTAGCGTTTGCTTGACATCCAACCAGAACCTTACATGCTTAACCTACCCAAACGTTACCAGAATGTAAGAGCGTAAGAGTGTAAGTTGCCATTGGTGCATCGTATAAAATATTTTTCTTACATGTACTCATTCTGGAGCATACCTACGGATGCAATCATATAAGAAGGTAGGTAGTAGACCCGTGAGGTTGTGCACATCATAGCTGCAATAGCAATGGTATGTCTCAGCGTTACGTCTTTTCATTTCCCGCGCGTTTTTTTTTTTTTGGGGGGGGGCATTCCCGAAACAAGAAGTAGACGCAAAACTGATGTTTCGTAGGTATAATAGTAGCAAAAACCCTGCAAGCTCGCATTTAATTAAACCTAGGCAATAATCCAATTAGGGCTAATTTTGCTACCTCGAATTGATGCGAGCCTATGTTATAAGTACCTAACTTGTAGGTATTATACCTACTGTGGAAAACACAGGGTCCTGATAGAGCACATACAGACCCCAGAACCCATTGGAATTAGGAATCCCGTATGGCTGTATGCCGCCTGAATCTGGCGTGGCGTCCCTCGCATTTGTTTGTACTTGGGTTATTTTTGCTGGCCTCGACTCCAAACTCCAGCATAAACAAACGCGCGCCCAGCTGACGCGACCTTCCGCAAAGCGTGCTTACCATACGCCAGGACCGACGAGTTTATTGGAAGCTGTTGTATTTCACACAGAGAGGGAAGACGTCATCTCATACGAATTTTAGGAGGGCCAAACAAACTGTTGTTAGGTACAAACTAAAAACCAATTCGAGCATATACCCAGCCAACAAAATTGGTCTGACCCGTAAATGGTTTTACTGTGCAGCTAGCTCCGGCACTTTACTACGGCCGAAGTAGGTACGGGCAAGGTCTGGAGCTCTACTGGAGTTGACACATGATCCCAGAGCTCGCCCGCAACCACAGCCGGACTTTGCCGCATCAGCCACACAACACCTCAACCGTACTTTAGGCACAGTAAGCCAGAGCAGCTAAGAGACAGCAGGCATGCGTAGCCAGGATTTTGCTCGGGGAGGGGCCACAGGTCTAGTGTCGTACCCCCTCCAAAAAAAAGAAAACTCCTCGGATATGGCCCACTGTTTTTGGGGTGTGGTGCAGCTGTTTTTATTCATTTTTATTTTTTATTTGATTTGATTTTATTTTTTGCCTTCAGGGGGGCATAGCTCCCGTGCCGCCCCCCCCCCCCCACACTTGTCTACGTCCCTGAGAGGTGGCAGGGAGCCGGACTTGAGCCGCACTTGGCGGTCCGAAACCAAACCAGCTCCGGAGAGCTATGGCAAAGACTGGCTAGCCGACAAAATGGAGCCATGTCGGCAACCCCATTGTTCCGACGGTGTTCCGTTTATCAACGGCCCAAATCTTGCATGTCGGAGTTGCCGGGGCAAAACGGACTTGAGCCAAAACAAATTGCTGGCTGGGTCGCATCGAAGCCCCTTTTGGTCAAATCGTTAAACTTTGGACTCTAAATTCTGCCATCGAACCGGAATTGCGCGGTCGGAGGGTGGAGGGCAAGGTCAACGCAACAAGCTTGAAAGCTTCGCTTAGCGGGGGCTCTGTCCATGTGAATCCTTCCAATTAAAAGGTTCGGATTAATTAATGAAAAGCTGTTCACTGTCATGGTATTCATGCATGTGTCCTGATATCAAAATGTTGGCACAGACGTGACATACATATACTTCGTATGAAATGATCTCTCTCTCTCCCTCTCTCTCTCTCTCTCTCTCTCTCTCTCTCTCTCTCTCTCTC